TTTTTTAAGGCATCGAATAGCAGAGATTTTCTTAACACATAGAACGTACGTGGAGATTACGTCAATGTCAAATTCAAAACGGGGCTGGACATCAAAAACTCGTGCCACCTGGAGCTCTGCAACATGCAGGAAGCACAAAACGCTGTACATTTTATAAAAGGCAGAAATTCATTCAGGAGAACTGCGAGGAATGAATTATCGCTTATGTTTGTCCCTTGGGTGAATTAAACATATATTTTTTATGGTTTTACAAAAATATTAGCCAAAATAAAGGTGTTTTAGTGCCAGTTGGAATGGAAAACAAGTGAGACTGAATTATTTACCTTCCTGCACGTCATTACTGCAGTAAATCCTATATTAGTTAGCAGTATTTTTAAATAAACTTGTCATTTTAAAATATCAGTGCTTTGTTACTTTTCCCCCAACTAGATTTGTAAAAGAACCAAATTAGGCAAACAATGATTATTAAACTTCATGAATTATACAAACCAAATGGACTTAAACTGGTTTTTACTCTCCCTCTCTCAGCTTCTCCCCACGGATGTAGTTAATTTTTACAATCCCTTTAGGGTTTGTATATTTTGGTGCAAGGAAACTCATGGTTTTTTTATACACAAATCCAAATTAAATTCCTAACATTTTTCACTACTGGCAATTTCTAATAAGATGCAATCCTAAGGAAAGCTGACCAAAGGTGAGCAAAAGACATGGATATTCGCCCTTGAGTGCGATGGGAACATGGGGGGAGGGGCAGATGGGAAAAGTCCTGGGCTGTTTGTAAGAAAACCCAGGAGTTCCTGTGTTCCTGCCTCCCTTTTCTGTCACAAACCTGCCCAGAAGCCTACGGCTTTTCTGAGCTTGATCTCATCATCTGTGGAATGAAGGGGCCAGAACTAGATGATTGCTAAGGTCTCCTGAGGCTCAAGCAGTCTCTGTTCTGAAGGACTAGCCTGCATTGTCAGCCCCAGTCGGCTGCCGCTGGGAGCTAATGAAGACTGACTCATTGGAGGTTCTGGAACTCAGCAAATGTACACGTGCCCTCGGTTTTACTGTCCCATGCATGCGTCTGCTTGGCTTCTGTTGTGCAACCATCCCAAGCTGGGTGGGTTCACCATCGGTTCTCGCAGCCTCCAGGAAAGCAGTGCAGCAATGACAAGGATGACGCACATGAAGGTCAAGGCCGATGCCACAATCAGGGGGATGACCCGCCCCATTCTCCCTGGAGAAGGGCGGCTTATCATTCTAGAGGCAGTCTTTTCTGCAAAGCAGGTCCTTCCTCTGTCTCTCAAGCCCTGGCGTCTTTAGCCATGCGCAGTGTGATGCCGCCCTTTCCTCGCTCCCGTCTAGGCCCAGGTGTGCGCACTTACACATGCACACGCCCATGCTCCATACTCACCGGGGTGTGCAAGACCGCAGCCATACAGGTTAGTGGCAGGAAGGTATAAAAAAGCCTGATTTTTAACTCACTACCCTAAAGCTTCTGATGATGGAAATGAAAGTTACACAAGCCGAGGCTTAAGGTCCAGCAGAGGAGAGGAGCTGAATGGAGAAGACGAGAAGATCAGAGCTGAACTAGAAGAGGGAAGAGACGCAAGTCCACATCGTTTTTTGCCAACCTGACGTGGGCCTGGGCACCTCTCCCGGCACAGAGGGGCCTTGCTTTCCAAAGGACTTTTTCTGTCGGCCAGGGAAACGGGTGGCAGAAATCCGAGCTCGTCTAAAAGCCCCCTTGTAGAGAGAAGCTTCTGCCTACTGCGGCTGTGAAGGGTAAGTGAAGGATCAGGCTTTTCCTGCGCTGTGCCCCTTGCAGCCCCTACAAGCTGGCATTGGAGTAACAGAATAGTCATGGAACAGAATAGTAATGGAACTTGCTCCTCGTTCTGTCCTCTCCCCTCAGCTAATGCATGTGACAGTGAAACAAGGATTCCAAAAAGGGTGGGCTGCAGAGCGAGAACCCAGAGGCCTCTGGCTAACCAAAAAGCAGCTTGGTTTTGAGTGTTCAGTGGCTTTTATATGATCATAATGGGGCACGCTTCATTCTGTCAGGAGGAAGAAGAAAAGGTTGGAAAGATGGCCTGACTTGCTGAGAGCAGAGTCCTTCGGACGAGCTTTCTGGCAGAGCTTCCCAATAGAAAGTGGGTTTTCCTGCTGGTGGGGCCCGTGCCCCGTCCTCATCCATGTGAATGAGCTTGAATTGCTCGGTTCGATAATACAGCTGATTCATTTCGAAGTCTGGCTTGACATCTCTTTGTGGGTCACGGAGTGTTCTTTCCTTTAGCAAACAAGCCCAGGAGTGTCACAGCTCATCACGTCATCGGGGCAGACACCAGGCTTCAGACGTGTGCTGCGCTCACAGGTTCAAGCCCACCCTGCCTGCATCGTCGGAACTTCAGTTGAGTAGATAAAGAGGTCCTCATCATTATCAGCCGCAGTAGGTATAACAAGAGGCTAAATACATAGCTGTGGTTTTAATTAGCTGGTGCTTCAAATTAGTAATTTTGGTTTCAGTCAGAAATCAGTGACGTTCTACATGATGAAAGCCTCATCACTGTGCCGTTCTTTCCTTATTATACCTTGCCCTGTGAAGCTTTCAATACAGCGCCTCCCTGAGCAAAAAAGGACAAACTTAGAGATCTTTGCTTGCCTTCCAAGAGCAGAGGAACTCGGCGGAGATTTAAGTCAGTCTCGCCAGAGAGATGGGAATGAACTGCTCTTTGTTATGGGTGTTAGAGCGTGCGGCAGGCACCTCAGTCTGCTCTGCGAACATGCGTCTGGAATCTGCTAGCTAATGAAGGGGTGCAAAAGGCGGGCAGAGCCTCCTCGCAGACCCACCCCATGTGGAAAGCTGGGACGCCCCAGGCTCGTCATGCAAGCTCCAGCCGCTTCCTTTTCTTCTCCTTTCCTTCCTTCAGGGTTTTCGTTATGTTCTTTGTCTCTGAGGAGAAGAAAGGTAATTTGCAAGGCCCAGACTAAGGTATTGCAGCTCTCTTCAAGCGGAAATTCAAGGTGATCTGTGTGCCTGTCATTGTGGGCTATCTGGTGCTCAGTGGCTGCAAGCCTGACATCTCACTCGCTTCTAGAAGCCTGAGACTGTGGCTCCTGTTTCTGTGTGGAAAACCGTCTCCTGTGGAAGGCAGAGAGATTAAGTGTCCTGCTCCTTTGCCCCCCCCACCAATAAACTGTTGCTTTCACCGGTTCCTCCACCCCTCACAGCATCTTTCTAACATTGTGACAAGTTGACGATGGACTTGGATCACACACACCAGCGCGCACTGCTGAGCAGACCCGCCTGCCCCACCTTTATGGACTGAGATGTTCCTGTGTCTGCTTCATTCTACGTCAGCCCCCTGCGCATGGATGCCCCCCCACACACACCCCACTGCCGGGTTCTGATCCCAGCCTGGGGATGGTGGTGATGGACACTGGTAGCATCCGAGGCGGCACAAACCACCCAGGCTGGCTTCCGGTATCTGGACTTGGCACCTCTCCCAAGTTGGCTGAGCCCAGATGTGCTGACTAGGCTTTGGGTAGAACTTGAGGTTCTTTGTTCTTCCCTGATAGTGACAATGTGCTGGGTGCGCTTACGATGACTCAGCAGCTGTGACGTAGCTGCATTGTTTGTCCTCTGGAAGCATAATGTTCCTTTGAACATCCGATACATGTTGCCACAATTTTAAAATGGAGAAATGAAGTGTTGTTTTTCCAGAAGGTAAGGTTAGCAAAGTCACTTTGAGTTTGCCAGTTCAAGGATTCCGGTGGAGAAAGGTAGATGGCTAAGTGAGGTGACATCTGACACTCCATGTATATCACTGTCTGGCTAAGCTGCCACGGGGTTTCCATGCTCTGAGCTCTCACTTTGTAAGTTAAAACAAGGATGCTCGTGAGAAAGCTAGGCTACAGATGATAGGCGTTAGGGCTTGGGATGTATTCCAAACCTGTGGACTATATTCTTCTATCAGTACATCTCTTGTAATTCCTTTAGCTATTACGTTCATTTGCATGTCGATTATCTAATTAAGTCTTAACATGGCAGTATTAACACGGGGAAGGAAACAACATTTATACTGCACCTGCTAGGCATCTTACGTGCATGTATGCAATTTAAATTTGCCCTGCGTATGTGGACTTACTCTGGGGAAGATTACAATCAGAAGCATGATGACAAAACCCAACGAACAAAATAATTTGCACTACTCTGAGGCTTACAGATTATAGTTTAATATGCACCCTCCTGCAGGATGAACAAAATAATTATTCAAAAAGGAAGCATTCTATAAAGTCCACACACCTTAAGTATATATTAGATGTTGTCGGGAAGCATCTGGAAGAGTCCCACAGCTGCATGGCACTTATAAAACATTTTTGTGAAGGACATTCAAGACTTTCGACATCTCCTTTCCTTGTTAGTAGTTTCTTGCTTTTCTCTGTGAAAGATTTCCAGAGAGGCTTCCAGCTACCTATGGCACACATCACAGGAAGGACAAACCACCACCACCTACAACACAAAGACAATGAATGATGGCGTGGTCTCATTTTGGGGAGACTTCCATAAATGCACTTAAATCTCTAGGGACGTCAGTAAAATAGGCTAATTCTGACTCGGGGGTTTAGGACAGAATTCCACTTTGATAATTCCCTTCCCTTGGGACTTTGTGACAGCTGAGCCCTGAGCAATAGGCCACAACACAGCTTGAATCAGTACCTTTCTGCAGAGTGGACTGACGTTTGGGGAGTCTGTAGTTACCTGCAGGAATTGCACAACAAGGGAAGATGATTCGGCCAATGGCATATGGTCTCTAATAAGTCAGTGTCTGTTTTTTTCTGCTGTATTCTGATCACTGACCGGGAGCTTCAGCCCAGTTGAAGAAAGAATTCTTTGCTCCCTAAGTTGTACCGCTTGGGTAGATTGACTTGTAGGTTTTTTTCTTAATAACAAAGGAGATGTGAATGATTTACATGACTAATCTTTTCCTCCTTTTGTCTATTTCTTTTCCCATCAGTCACTACGAACAAGACCGTAGCGCACTTAAAAAAAGGGAATGGGAGCGGAGGAATCAAGAAGTCCAGCAAGAAGACGATCTCTTTTCTTCAGGCTTTGATCTTTTTGGGGAGCCCTACAAGGTAGCTGAATATGTATGTAATTTATCTTTCTGAGAAATGGTTGCTTGTTACATTTTGAACACACTAATCAACAGTTAATCTATTTTTAAAACACCTAAATCATTTCCAAGAGAATATGTTTTACAAATGAAATATATACATGCACTGTCTTTGGGGCAATGGCAGGTTTCTGAGAAAGTCTTCAGAGACAAAGTCCATCCTGTTGGAGGAGCTCAGTAAGATTTGAGAGGGACTGTGAGGCTGTCTATTGGACGGAGCTCTTTAATGCACCAGGCACCCTCTGGCAAGCAGGCAGTACCCCTGATGCTTTGCTCCCCTGGGAGTATCAGCACAGCACCCCTGAGGACTTCATCAGAATGCCAACGGGTATGTCTGTTCCTCTTCCAATCAGTGCCATCCACGGCAAGGACACTGCTTCTCTTTGCCATGTTAGCTGTGCAGTGGTTTGAGTGTTCTTTGAAAATCACTGCTCTTGGACAAGGGGGGAAGCCAATCATTTTTTCCTGGTGGTGAATAATCATGGGCTAGGAGATTGCCTCAGCTGGAGGGGCTGGTGTAGCTGGGTTGATTTTCTGGTGGCATTCAGGCTAGCGTGTCGCTCCAGTAACGATCAGATTGCTCTGTCTTCCATTCCTGACTTCACAATGACTGCCTCTCAATGTTCTTTTCGGGGTGGGGGTTGAGGGATGAATCTTGTTGAATTGAGGAACTGGTTGGTTTTTATTGAAATTTAGTAGCCACATAATTTTCTGTAATGAAACAAAAACAATATAAAAGGTCAAGTGACAAATGATGAGATTTTCAAGAGCTGTGATTTTAGGAGAGCAGCATGAGGGGACAGAAGCTTCGTGAACAGGAAAATTCTTCATGAGGATAGCATAGGCCAAAATACTCCTTTGCTGCCTTGTTCAGAATGAGTAGGCAGCTTTTGATTAAGACACTCAGGTGCCCTCCAAGTTTGATGAGTCTGACAAAAAAGACTGCTGGTTTTCAATCTGCCCACCATATTGCAGTCTTCAAATTTTCCCCCTATCTCAGTGGATTTGCCTTATATGCTACCTTTGAAGGTATGTAGAGAGATGATTAGTTTAATAAGCATTTCTTGAAGGCCCACTATGTGCTAGTGTACAAAAGGGAGTGAGACACAGACCTTCACTTGGAGGAACCCCTCATCCGGGGCAGAGCGCTTCCTGACCCGGGAGGGTGTGACTGCGTAAGAACTGCCGGGGAGCCAGGCAGCTGAGCTTCACCCCTAGCTGTTTTGGACAACATTCTGTGCCTGAGGAGAAGTCATTTTACGTTGGCTCGGGGGAGTTCACGACAGGCTACAGGAAGGGCAAGGACATTGAGGTGACGGGGCTGGGTGTCTGATGGGATGGAGCGAGGGGTGGGATGGGAGTGAAGGGGCCCAGCTTTCTCTCTCGGGATGATGATGGCATCGCTGGCAGCGTGTCCGGCAGGACAACAGGGCTGGTGCCTGTAGAGAAAACAATAAATCCATTTTGAGCATTTGGGGGTTGAGATGCCACTGGGTGTCAAGAAGCATCGGAGCCCTGCAGCCGGAGCTTCTGGGAGTGGCGAAGAGAGGGAGGAAGGAGCTGTCTTGCAGCTGGCAGTGGAGGCCGTGAGAGGAATGCAGGGTCTGATTAGATTGCTTAGTAAGAAGGACAGAGAAGCTGTGCAGTAGCTCCAAATAAACTCCAGAGCAGAGGCCAGGAAAGGGAACTAAAGGAAAGGGTGGGCAGAGAGGTAGGAAGAGAACTAGGGAGAATCACTTAGTAGAATCCAGGAAACAAAGAGCTTGATGCAAAGCAATTTGCCAGAGAGGTCAGGACTGGAAAGTGGCTGCTGGATTGGGCGTTGAGGGATGAGTTGTCTTAGGGAGAGCCATTTTATTTTGATTCTTGCCAGGGTTGGACAGTAAATTGGAAGTAGTGGAATAAGGCAAGAGGGGCAGGAAGGTGGACTTGATCTTGCACAGAGGTTTTGGATGGAGGGAGGAAGGACGGAAGATATGTTAGAATGTGAGGGGAGACATCGGCATGGAAGGCACCTTTTTTTTTGGAAAGTTAGTTGAGTGATTGATAGAAATGAATTGATGTCTGGAGAAGGGGAATATGAAGAAATGGGAGGGAGAGGTGGTGATGAGTGGAGCAGGGCCCCAGAGCAGAGGAGAAGAGTCAAAGTCAAGAGCACGTGAAGATTGTTCAGACAGCGGGGGCAGGTGGGAACGGAATTTCAGGAGAACAAATCAGGAGAGTGGCAGGAAAATGTCCAGGGCAAGAAAGTGTGGTCTCCAATTTTTTCTAGAAAACGGAAGAGAGGCCACAGGATGGTAGATCTTTCCTTCTTGAGAAGGAAGAGCAACCAGAAGAAAGTTATCATTGGATGGGGTAGAAAAATGACCATTACTCAAAGGACGCGTTCTTAAAATTCAACATCCGCCCCAAACTCAACACTATTATGAGGGTTTATTTCCCCTTTATAATTTTAAGTCCTAAGAATTAATGGTCTTGCATCTTTAAGGTAAATATCATTTCTTGTTAACAGGGACTTCTAGGTACGTGCATATTTAATTTTCGATATAAACACAGTATTTTTGAAGAGGTGGTTAAAATACCTGTTATCCACACCAGCAGAAGTTTTCAAAAGCTACCGATCCGTCTTCATATGGCAGGGGTGTGCCAGGGAGAGACGCAGACAGGAACATGGAGTTGACTGTGGGGCCAGGCCTGTTGTGTGGTTCGTAGCTATTGCATCTGTGCTTCTTGATGGGCAGAAGCCTTTGTTCTTGAGTCAAGACCATGAAGGAAAGAAAGAATGCTAGCAGTTGCTGACCTAGTAGGAATTCTCTTTCATTCACCTTTGCTTTGATGGTCGACTGTCATCTTGAGCTGTGTCCATGTTCAGGGTCCCCTGGGAGGTCACTTTCTCCTATGATATGATAAGAGAACTGCTCCTCCAAAGGCTTCCCCGGCCTGCAGTGGTGTGGGCATCCTTGAAGTATCTGGACTTGCTAGTGGCAGTGGGAGTTTTAGATCTTGCTCACAGGCCACTGGTGGAGGCGAGGACATACCGCACCTCTTCTGCAGGGCTATGGAGGGAATGCTTAGCGAATTAAGCATCAAAAATCCTGGTGGTGAAACAGGACTTTCTGCCACCCTAAGGCCTAGAACATGGCTTGATAACTCATCCACTAATGTTGGTGGTTCTTGTATTTGCCAGTGAACACCAGTCCCTATGCCTACTGCCCTTTCTTGGCCTAAGGAAGAAATGGAGAGCTCTCATCTCTCGTGTTCTTGATTGATTCCCTTCCTTGCCTCACCTCCACCACTCTGGAATGGCAAGAATGTTGACCATACCCATATTTGGTTTTTGATGGGGAACTTCTCTGTGGGGCTGCTTTTGTAGCTTGTAACTTTCAAATCTGAGTTTATACTTTCAAGAGCATTTCCAAATGTGGGAAACTGTTTGACATGTCCTGCTGGTGTGGAAAGATTGGGAGTGATGAAAGACTGGTTTGCACCCGGTGCCTCTTTGGTGCCAGGCACTGTGCGAGGGCTTCATGGATGTGCTCGCTTAGTCCTTCCAAAGGGCAGAGTGTGTGTTTCCCCTCCGTTCCCCGTGACGATCTGGGGGCTCAGAGAGGTGAGGTGCCTTCTCTGCAGCCTCATATTGTTGGAGGTGGTGAGCCTAGCCCTAGTCCCGGGTGAGTCCGTGTCTTCACAGGAAGCTGGTGACAAGGAGTCACACAGGGAGTCGGAGACCTGAGGGCATACCTTCTGTTTGACTTCGGGGGAGGAAACTTCATTTCTCTGACCTGTAGTTGCCTCCTCTCTGAATTGGATAATACCTGATATTACTAACAGTCCCCGATCATAAAATGAATAGTAACGACAACAGACCTTTTTTACTGTTTCTGGATCAACAAGAACGAGGGCACCAAGGTGGAGATGCAGTTGGTGACCCGGGTCATGGGGTGGGTGGGGGTGAGGGTGGGGGTGGGTGGTGGAGGCCAGACCCTGGCCAGAGCTGTTCTGCTGATTCACCTGCCTGTCGTAAGGGTCAAGGGAAAGGACCCAGGAAACCTTGCTTTTCAATCTTTCGAGTGCTATACAAATTAGGGACTTATCATTATTATAATTAGGCCATAGAAAGAAAGAACCACTCACAGCTCACAGAGATGACCTGTAAAAATGGTAAAATTAGGGAGGAATAAAGAATTACTAAATCACATGCATTAGCCACAATGAAAAAAAAAAAAAAAGAAAACTATCGAAGCTCAAAACTTATTTCACTACTTTTATTCAAAAGAAATAGTGTGGTACGGTAGCCTCCGAGCACATTAGTCCTGCCATGAAATTGTACGACTGATTTGTAGAAAGCACCAGAAGCAAACTGAGGCAACTCTATTTGCAGAAGTAATGAGAGGCAAAAAGCTTAAATGAAGGAGTGCTGTTAGTCATGAGCCACAAACCAGACATGTAATTTATGCCTGAAAATACTTGGAAAATGCATTTCCTTGATGATGGAGAAATTGTGATTACTTAGAAAATAACGGCTGCAGGGGTTACCTTTAAGGAATCAACCAATTATCTAGAATGGGAAGTAAAGAATTGGCCAAATTGAAAGAAGCCTATAATTGATTGAAATGGCTAATTTCATTTTTGCCATGTTTATCATGTTCCATCAAGACTGCCAGGAATACCTTTCTCCTTAATAGGATTACTAAGACTCTGGAGGGTGAAAAAGAACATTTAGTGTGAACCAGAAGTTGCTGTGGTGTATAATGAGAGCACACTGTGTCGGTGTCTATAAATATATTTCAGGCCCGTTGGGTTTTCCATCCTGTGGAACTCATGTCTACATCTTGAGAACTTGAAAAAGTGGTTGACAGCTCCCACCACCGATGGGGGGTGAGGGTGGGGGGAGAGTTTACTCTGGCCGTCTGGTGACCTGAACTGCATGTTGTTTATCTCATCTTGTTGAATGGGGGCTTCCTGAGGCTGTGTCTCTGTGTCCTCCGTGCCCAACACTACCTCATGCGTGTTTTGAATTTACCAGTGTCTGTCTCAAGAATGACCATGGTAGTTCCTACTTACAGCCACGGCACGTCTGTTATGCAAAGTATATGGATCTTCCTTCAATCAGCAACTCAGAAAGTGTCGCCAGTGAACTCAACCTTGAACTGTCTGCTATGCAGTTTCGGTCACGAGTCCCTCTGAGACTGCTGCTCTGTGAGGAAGCTAGTCTAAGGGGGATGCTGGCCCTCCGTTCCTCCAGGTTATTACAGCTTCACCCCCAAATCTTTCTTTTTTCTCTTTTCTTTTTCTTTTTTTTTTTTTTAAGAACAGGCCAGAATCGCGGGGGTGTGAGAAGATTCACCAGAGAGAGCAGGGAGCAGAGCAGGCATATGTACCAAAATGCACTGCAGAGGGGAGCAGCGGGCGAAACAAAAGAGGTCTGCTGCACCATGTGGGTTGCTCCCCAGCTGGCCAGGAATTGAATTCGTGCCTCAGAGGCCGCAGACAGCCTCACAGCACTGTGTTCAACCACCTGCGCCACCAGGGAGCCCCCGCTCCAGTCCTTCTTGAATCAGTAAGCCACACACCTGCAGCTAGCAGCCTCGTGCCCTAACTGCACGTGCAGACACGTCCTTCCCCGAGTTAGACTTTTGCTTTTTACTCATCATGAAAGTCACGTGAACAACATCTTTGCATCTTCCGTAAAATGGGTGCTGAAAAAAAATCTTTGTTTTCTTGTTTGAGGGTTCATGTAGATGAACCAATGAGAGGAATTCCTTCTCATATTGTATAGAATCAGGCAGCCATTTCTTTTATTGAATTAGTATGGGCTTCCTTCTATCCAAGAGAATTCTGAAATCTGTGCGCTTTTCCTTTTTGTGTTAACTACCAAAAAGCTCAAATTTCAGTTTAGTGTTCAAGCACAGTAACCAAGTTAGCTTGACTTCTTACTTTTCTATGTAAGTGCCTTTTATTCCAAGGCATCACATAGTCTTTATTTTGAAATAATTCGGGTATGGATTATTATTTGATGCTGATCAGTTCAGTAACACATTGTTGAGTTACTAATATGCACCAGACATGGTGCTATATCTTCGGGATAGCCTTTAAGAGTTCATATTTTTATACAGGAAAAGAAACCACAACTGTTGTATACCCTACTCTACGTAGTAGGAGGCTGATTTTCTAGACTTATTCAGAGAACTTTCAGTTTTCGTCTAACTTTATTCATGTAGGGGCAGTCTAAGACACTGATCAGTTTAGACGTTCTCCTAATTGCAAGCATATTTTACCACCTAGAGATGGAAATAAAAATTCTAAGCATGCATTAGAAACCCAGATCGTTAGAACAGTAAGTGTAAATGAAGAGACATTAAAACTTAACCAAGGTTCTTTCCACTGGGTACAAGATGAAAATGTCCCTTTTATTTATTCGTGAAATAAACCGGAATGTGACTAGTTTCTTGCAAACAAATAGTCCATGAGATTCCAGGGCCCTAATGATGTTGGCTTGGAGAGTGAAGGGCTTCTCAGGGCTTGGAGATATTGTGGTGGGCTCTATGACAGCCCAGGGCAACGTTATAATTGTGTAGATCTCTGTTTAGTGGAAGTTCGACAGACTTTCCTTGAGAGTTCAATAGATTGAAATTTGTGCTTCCTGGTAGCCAAGGCAAAAAAGGAAAAACTCAGAAGTTATAGAATTCTCTTTGTCTGATAAAAAGTGTGTCCTAATTCATAAAGGGGACAGTGTAAAATGAAGGCATTTAAAATGGGGAAATGAAATGTTCTTTTCCCTTATTGGGTCAGAATCTGGAAAATAGCCAGGTATTAGTTCCCATTAGTCAATCATCTAACCCAAGGGGTAAACTGTTTCGGGGACCAGAACAGCCCTGCCAGTATTTAAAGCTTGCATCAAATTCGTACTGGGCCTTTACACAATGAAATCTCTCTGTTTTGAATTTAGGGATTGAATAGAGAGGCTGGTTTTGGCTGCCACCCAAGTGGTTCATTGTGCAGCTCCGCTGAAGGAGACTGCTATATACAAAGAGTTTATTCTTGCCCTAGCTGGAAAGTAATTTCAGCCATTAAAATTGACAAACCTAGGGACTCTCAAGGAATAGAAGTGATTTCTACCCATCTCTCTCTATTAAATATGCCTTTCAAATGTACTTCTGAAAAAAGGAGTGATGACTCAGGTGAGGATTATATGAAATGTTAATTGTTTAATCACTACTTTAGCACCCAGGCTGCCTGAGACGCACTATAAGATGGTCTGTGGAATAAGACAAGTAAAATTGACGTGTATTTATATTTGAGATCTAAAACCTCCTGCCCCTCACAGCTTCCTCTTCACATATGTTCAGCATACTTCTCCCTAATCTTTGCAATCGTATTTCTCTGACTGCCCTCATTTCTTTGGAAATGTCTGATATGATTTAAGACGTGATATGAGTTGAACACCCGATGCAGTGGCGATCATCCTAATAACAAGGCCAAGGGCCCCAGCTGATTTTCCCTCTCAGTCTTCCTTCCTGATGTCCTCTGCTGACTCCTCTTTTATTTTTTTTCCCAGCTTCTTAAAGATTGATGTTCCCCAGGGTTTTCTCCCAAGTCCAATCTTCTCATTCTGCATTTTCTTTCCCTGGGAGATTTCCTCCATTTCTGGCACTTCACCCTCCGTTCATCTGTACACTCCCCCATCCTCACATGCAGAGCACAGCACACAGCCACACGGTGTAGGTGTAGGCTGAGAAGCCAGACGTGGACAGACAGGCACACTATCCACGTATGCCAGGAGACCGGGCGGCACAGAGGCTGTGCGAGGGAGCTTAGGTGCTGACATCTCTCTGTAGTGGAGAGTGTACCTCCCGCCAGGTGGTCCTCCCTCCTATGCATGGAGCACATGGGATGACTCCTGGGACAGGGAGGTGCCACAGGTTGGGTGTCTGCCCTATCCAGTGGCCCTGCTGCCAGATGGCTCTCTGGCTGCCAGTAGCCTCTTTCCTTGTAACACCTGGGCCAAGGGAGTGCAAGCCGACCACAAAGAAATCCTCTGCCCTTCTGAGTTCAGCAGCTTGTTTTGATAACACCTTTGACAGTTCAAGAGGATAATAAAAAGTCATTTTCGAAGATGAATAGCTGAGCTTTCAGCAGGCATTTCCAGGTATACAGCTATCTACCATTATTTAGTTATGAAAGCTGTGCTTTCTGTATTACAGAACCCCACGCAGGAGCAGAGTTACTTTAAAAACAATCACAACCATTTGAGTAGGATTAGTATATCCTGTAGGGAGTGGTATAGCCGGTACGTGGATGGTCCGTACAATGATTCAGTGGCCAACATTTCTTTGCGAATCTGACTTTGTTTTGATTTAGTTAAGCAACACTTTCAATTCTTGAATAAATTTTTCGAAATCATTGAAATGACACAGGAGAACTTGAGTCACTGTGGATGAACAATCGCACCATTTCACAGCCAGCGGGTATGAGTCATCAATATGTAAACACAGTTGCCCCCAAATATGTAGTCAGACACCAGTAATTTATACAGTCCTTTGATTAAAAAGAATTAGATGTGCTTTAGTCATACGTTAGCTCAATTAGATGTTGGTTAATCCCATGCCTATTCGACACTGAATGCGGTCGTGATAGCACAATTTGACTGACGTCCTTATCCAATGGGCTAAGCCTTTTTCATGGTATAATGGAGCGCAAAGGGCCGTTGTGTCAAGAACAAACAGAAGTCAAACGTTCCATTATGACTGCCATGATCAGTAAGCCGAAGTGGTTAATCACAACGTAGGAAGGAACAGTTCAGCTCATCTGACCTCCAATAAGTGATTTTGCTAATAAAATTCATAAGTGACATAACTCCAAACTTTCTCGCAGTGAGCATGTTTAAGGACAGGCCAAGGCAGTAAACAGATGCTAATCACACAGCTCACGCCAAGAGGCTCTTTCAATAGCGCCATTGATTTCTTCTTACATAGCACATGGAAAGTAGGAAATAATATAGCAGCGTGAGAATTGTAAAGAGCCCTATATGCTAGTCTGCTTCGGACAGCTGGTTAAAACATTACCATTAGGAAACACAAACCTATTCACGCTCTCTCCTCCCACCCCCCATCTTTTCGTTATTTTAGACAAACAAAGGCGATGCACTTGCCAACCGAGTCCAGAACACGCTGGGAAACTATGACGAAATGAAGGATTTGCTAACTAACCATTCTAATCAGAATCATCTCGTGGGGATCCCAAAGAATTCCGTGGCCCAGACTCCCATCAACAAAAGCGAATCAAGTTTTTTTCCGGAACAAAAGAACCGAATGATCCCTCCTCACCAGGACGGCGCTCACCCCCCGGCACCAATGCCTCCGCCTTCAGTCGTGATACTGAACTCGACTCTGATACACGGCAACAGGAAAGCAAAACCCGACTGGCCACGAGATAGCCACAGTGCGAGCGTCACGCCAGCCAGCCAGGCCAGCGGGCAGCCGAACACGGTGCAAACGTCCACGCAGGACCAGCCCCAGGCCAGACTGGAAGACTTCTTCGTCTACCCGGCCGAACAGCCTCAAGTTGGCACAGTGGAAGAACCAAACCCATCTGCCAAGGGAGAGGGTAATGTCAAGCCCAGTGGAGGGGATGCGTTCAAAGAGATCTTTCAGTCGAGCTCACCGGAAGAACCTGAATTTACGGTGCCCGCGCCCGGGTCCCCCCTCCTGGCCTCCTCGCTCTTAGCTCCCAGCAGTGGCCTTTCGGTTCAGAACTTCCCTCCGGGGCTATGCTGCAAAACGAGCATGGGGCAGCAAAAGCCAACGGCCTATGTCAGACCCATGGACGGCCAGGACCAGGCACCGGACATCTCCCCGACGCTGAAACCTTCCATCGAATTTGAGAACAGCTTTGGGAATCTGTCTTTCGGATCACTCTTGGATGGAAAACCCAGTGCAGCCAGTTCAAAGACTAAACTGCCCAAGTTCACGATTCTGCAAACAAGTGAAGTAAGTAATTTTTTTTTTGAAGTTCTGTTTCATTTCTTTTTTTTTTTTTTCTCTGTAGTTCACTGCACTAGGCCTGGAATCAGGTATTCCCAAGCAGTTCTTATTTGCCTTCTTGAGCCGTAGATGAGACTCTTCAAGGTCACAGTCTGAGTCTTGATCTGCTGTCACTTGTGACTTGACTGATTAATACTCTGCACATACTGTTAAATCTCCATAATTTGGAATGACAAAAGACAAGGTCGGTCTGAGTGAATGAAATGTTGGTGTTATAAATGGTTTCAGATGATGCGTTTGTGGGTCTCTCCCGTACAAATGAATGTCATTGGCCACTTTAATCGGTCGTGTACAGCGCGAGGTCCGTGAAGGTCACCGTAGGCCTTCGCTAGCCGATAACGTATCAGGAACATAAAACACAGACGTGGCTTAAGGTCCAAGAATGTACAGGTCTGCGTTGCTGGAACTGGAAGCTGAAGGCATGCTGTTAGATTCTAGCTTGCAGGGCCATTCCTTGACAGGTCTTGATGGTCTCTCTGTCTCCCTCAGTCTTCTGCTTCACCTTCTTCCACAGCCACCGCCATAGCCCTCTTCCCCTGCCTGCCCCTTCTGTCGGAGCAGAGGCAGTGGACTCAACCACAGTTCCACTGGGGGTAGAATGGCTAATCGGGGATCCTGACCTGGGAAAGAGAAATACAGAGGGACCCAAGTCTCGCCCCAGAGGAATAAATCACTAATGACTGGATCCCAGGCCTTCTGGCCCCTGGGTGGGGGACTCATGTGGGGTGGCCCTCAGATACCACCGTGTAAGCGGCCACCTTCTGCACATCAAACACTTTATTGGAGGCCTGTTACTGGTCACCCAAGACACAAAGAGGAGGAACGCAGGTGGAAATGCATCCTCACCAGGCATCACAGTGTTTCTGTCGCTGCAGGTGCCAAGTTAGTGGTGTCTGAGTTAGAGCAGCATTCACATGCGTCTTCTGGACTTCTTCCTTTGTTCATACTCGGCAGATGCAGTGGTTGCAGAGGATGCTGGGAGCACCAGGCAAGGGAGGACTGGGACTATCAATTGTATTTGCTGAATGCGTGTTTTGAATATTTTTTCATTTCTGAGATGACTTGGCTTTCTGTGTCTCCGTTCATCAAGTCTTGTCAAGCTTGCTCCTACGTAGCTCTCCAGTCTGTCACCTCTCCACCCTCAGTGCCTTCCGTGCACCCATGGGTGTCTCAGCCCCTAACTGCTGTGATACTCCCTCCTTTCTCCTCGGGTCCCTCCTCTGTCCCCAGCTGTCCCCCATGCAGGCTGATCTCATGTGCAGATGTGACTATGCTCTGGGAAGTTCAGCGTCTTCGCATTGTTTCCAGGAAAAGTCCCAGCTTCTTAGTCCTGCATACAAAGCTGTTCACTCTCAAATTTCCTGCTCTCTCTCTGACCTCACGCTTCACCGCTGCTTCCTACACAGATGCATCACAGCCAGATGGCTATGCCCGTGCCCCCCCCCATGCTATGCTCTGTTATGCTTCCTTGCTTCTGTTCCTGCTGTACCCCAGCCATTCTAGAATGTCTTTCTCCACCCTCCCTTGTCTTCCTGCTCAAGTCCTGTTTCTCTGTAAAGGCTACTCACTGGTCACTTTGTCTGCAAAGGTTTCCCTGAGTCCATCAGCTTAGTGGCCTACTGCCTCCCCTGGCTCCTTGGACACCTGGTGAGGGCTTGGCTGGCACTGCTTTCATGGTAGAGCAGCTTCTCGTGTCTGTATCTGTCTCCTCTGCTAGACTGTAAGCTCTGCGAGAGCAAGGACTGTCTCATTCCTCTCTGTATCCCTAGAGCCCAGCCAATGCCTGGCACCTAATAGCTACTCAATAAATGTTGAATGAATGAACTTACAAACTGGTTACCTGATTACATTCTCTAAGTCATAATGTGAATCAAATGACATGAACAAGGGTAAACTATTACTAGAAACCCCATCCTCAATTATATTTCTTTAATTGTACTCTGCCTGCCTTTGTCTGATTCCACTCCGCTGCTGCACAACCACTGGGAAATCCTTGTCCTTGTTTTTTTTTAGATGAGTTAAAAAGGGTTGTAATACTTGGAAACCAAAAAGAAACTTGCTTTGAAAGGGCTAGACTAGGAGGCTGGATGTCATTCTTGTCCCTTCTCTTGCCCTGGTAGCTGCTGCATTTCCCCTGTATACAGCAGTGCCATCCGTCGGGACTAGTCCGGAAATAGCACTGGCCTATCAAGAGCGCTGTCAGCCCGTGTCCATACCTCATTAGTGGAGTGACAGGCCACACAGCCAGTGAGATCTGCTCTGTGGAATCCTCTCTCTTGTACATTCACAGCATGGCTGACTCAGATTCAGAAACAACTTCATGCTTTTGCTCAGTGCCCTGGTACACCAGTGAGAGGGCCATTCGCAGAGAGTCTGAGCCGCCATCAGTTCTGGAGATGAGTATCCAAGGAACAGCCAGCGAGGCGCATGCAGTCTTTGGTGACGGTCCAGACCGACTCTCATAGAGCCTTGTATGAAAAATGGGTCAGGTGTGATCAAGTCCCGATAAGCGATCAGTGAGGAACGTACTTATTTTACAATATAGGTCTTAGGGAAGGATTTGAAAGAGGGGCAGGGAGAGGCTTAGGGCCCTAAAGTCAGAAGACCGTACAGGCTCCGAGGGTAATGTAAAACCCACAAATAGGAGGAAGGAAATGAGAAGTTAGACAGCCCAACAGAGTGCTTAGAAGGGTGTCGATGAAAATGTGGGCATAAATATAGACAGGGTGGAGCATTATGGGACTTTGAACCTAATGGAATTTATGTGGCTAAAACTCTCAACAAGTCTGGAAATTCACCCTATTAAATCTTGATGCGCTTTTCAAAAGCACTTAGCATTAGAATCCCGCCCTGGTTCCTGGCGCCAAGCGCTCCAGGCCTGGGGTTCTGGGTCCTTACTCAAAGTAGCAGTCCTCGATGAACGGAAGCATTACTTTGAGTTATTACTAACAAGGCATATCCATAGAGTGATCTCGGGGTTTCTCTGAGTAGTCCCAAATCTTTCAGTAGCTCTGGTGACCGGAAGCTGACACTGTGGGTTAGTGAAGTGCGTTTGCCAGGAGTCAGGGGGTTGAATGACTTGAAAACAGCATCCTAAGATACACAGCACCCAGATAGCATTGTATTTGTGAGCCGAGAAATCATAACCTTTTATGGAAAAGTGACGTTGGCGTGCATGGACACATGTTCGTTTACTTGTCTCTGCTGGCTTCTGTAGTGAGGCCACTTACCTTATATCCTGTCACGAGACATCTCGCTTCTGAGAATTTCCAAATCAGTCATAAGGATACTAGAAGTCTAGCCAACTTTATTGAGAAAGGTCACCATTTCAACTGCAGCTTTTTCTTGAAGCAAATAATTTGTTTAAAAACTTCGTGTTACAAAAGTTACTCACACTTTAGGCGACCCGAATAAAGAAGACGGATGTGTTCTGCAGTTGGGCTTAGAAAGAATTTTCTGGGAACTGCATGTGAACACAGTAAAAAGCCTATTTATATCAAGTGGAAACTGAGGGTTGCTCGCAGATGGTGTTTTATTAGGAAATGAATTTGTTAATAAATGTAGTTTTAGACATGATTTCATTACAGATGTTTTTGTTTATATTTTCATTAGGCTAAAAATCTGCCGGCTTACGTAGCTTTGCATTTTGGTGCAATTTGTTAAGGTTAGTATTTCGGGAATGCAGATAATGGCATGCAAATGACGGGATCAATGCCATGTATTACGTGTCTCCATCCCAGGTACGGCACTAACGTGTGCAGCAGCGTCATCCGCGTAAAGGATCGTTTGCTTTACAAGCTGCTCTTGCTGTGACCTAAGGCCTCAACACCAGGAGTCTCTTAGAAAAGTTTAATGGAACTGATGTGAATGATGGGATTTGGCTTCAGCTTATTTCAGCGGCTAGCTTTGTCAACCAGCTGAAAAGTTATTGCTCGTCGTGCCTCTTTTATTTTATAGCCTATGCGGTGAATAGTATGAGTGTAATTAGCTTTATTTATTATGAGATAATGGGAAGCTCAGGTCCCTGGGCCAGAACTGCAGGGAATGTGGGAACTTACCATTGTGTGCTGGATGTGTCCGGGCAGCGTACACAGAAGCCATGGAGAGGCTCCCCAAAGGCCAGAAGGCCTCCAGCTGCGGTGCGCAGCCCGCGTCACTGAGCACTGTCCACTTGATACAGATCCTGAGTTGAGTTTTTGGTCCATTCCTGTGGAAACAAAATTGTATCTAGTCAAAGGCTATCCCTGGCCTAATTCCCACCTCCCTGGGAGTGAGTGGGGACCCCTTTGAGAGCCCTCCCTCTTCCAGGATGCTACACAGACTCCTGGTTTGAGCGTTTATGTCCGGGATGCGCCTGATCCACAAAGCTTCGTCCCCTCTGTGAGTCTGGCATTCATTGGTGTTCAGTTATTTTTTTTTTTCTTCCCAGACATCTCTTCCCCTCTGCTTTTACCATCCCTCTACACTAATGATGGGGCCGCCCCGGACATCTGAAAAGGGCAGTAGATAATCCAAGGGCAGCCGAGCCTGGCGTTCTCCGTGACGGGGCGGTCACAGATGCTGGGGGGAGACTCAATTGCTGCCCATAATTCAGTGAGTAGGAAAGCTGTCCTGGGGAGAGAGATTTTGAACTTGACCTACTGGGCGGATTTACAGCAGGTCGGGAGGGATCTGCGGGGCAGCTGACACGTGTGCAAGTGCGCGATGGGCCGACAGAGAGGCCCGTGCAGAAAGGGGAGCGCAGGCACCGTTTTTTTGCCCACAGGCCAGTTTGTCGCTGCAGGTTTGTAGGACCAAAGTGACACAGGGCTCGAAAGCCAGACCCTAGGTGTCTGCATGCCTAGGCAGTGTGGCTGCCAGACAGAGGCGCTGAACTTGAACATTCACTTCCCCAGTGGCTTCCTAGGAGCGCTCTCAAGCCAGTTGCTCTCAGCAGCCCCGGCAGT